AGGCGGCTGGAGGGCGGGCGGCAGCCTCTCAGCGCCCGGCCGGGGCCTGTGGCACTCCGCGCAGCTGGAACCCCGCTCCCAGCTCGTTCCTGACGGGGCGCTGAGGCCGTTCCTGGGTTTTAACAGTGTGGTGCCACGTTGGGATTAGTTCTGAATGTCCTCCCTTCATAAGGAAAGTGCCTACTCGCCTTGGCGACTGTATATTTAAGTGTGTGCCATGTACTCTCTGCCAGGGATCTCCTCAGCTGTGTACCACAGCTTCAGTGCCATCCTGTCCTTGGGGCCTAAGCTGAGTTCCTTGTCCGCTTCGATAGCCCTCCGCTTAAAATTGGCTGTGCCATGTGTTTCTTGGGTAGTTTCATGGCAATTTGTGCTTAGTTACGCTAGTTCCTCTGCTCAAACCGTCCCAAAGGCGACTGACTGTCGCAATTCAGCTGCCTTAACTGCGAGAACTATGAGCCTCAAAATCTGGATAATGAAAATACAAGAAAGGGTTAAAACTCCAAGGATTTCTAAATCAGATAGAAATGTAGCTTCTCCCAAGCTTGAGATGTGATAAATCTGGAAAGGGAACATATTTAAAAAAGAGTGATATTTGATTTATGAGTTATAATGTTCTCTCTTCTAGCTAATGGAATGACACAAGACGATGCAAGAGAAGATGAATTTATGTAATATTTGATATCCAACAGCACTTGCCAAGAGGGGATTTGTTCATTGCAAGGTATTTATTTTAATGCAGTGGTCTGGATACGCTGCATATTAATAACATTATCTCACCTGTTACAGCGACAGGTTTCCTGGTGTGCTTGCCATGAGGATTCTTTGAGTAGTCCAGTTGCATAGTGGGCACTAGGCTGTTTTGTGACATTAGATATTGTAGCCTGCTTAGCTCTTTATCAGTACTTCTCTGAAATTAATTTAAAGCTGTTTGACCTGAAATTGGTATGATGTCTGTAATACATTTTAAAAACACTTGATGATTGTTGCACAGAACAAGCTACACAATTTCATGTGAATATTTTAAAATAATTAAATTGGAGAATAAGGAGAATAAGAATAAGGAAGTATCGACAGTAAATGAAATGAAAAGGAAAAGGACTGTAAAATGAGCAGAACAGGCTAAGAGAGTTGGAAAGAAGGGGTGAAAGTTC